GGAAGTTCTGTGGTAGTGTATGCAGCCCAAACACACCAAAAAGCGATCCCCATCATGGGAAGCGCTTCAGACAGGGGAATCAGTTCAGGAACAGGAAGACTAGAGTGAGTGGGTTTGGGGATACCAGTTGCGCGTGCAGACACCAACGGTGCATCCCTCAAACTGGATACCAGACTGGGATACCGAAGGGATGACCTTGATAGTCTGGGTGTAACAGACAGGACGTGACGTGACTCTGGATGATCAGCTGTGATGTGACGTGACTCTGGATGATCAGCTGTGATGTGAAATGACTCTGGAAGATCAGCTGATATGTGACGAGATTCTGGAAGATCAGCTGTGACGTGACGTGACTCTGGACGAACTGCTGAGACGTGACAAGACTCTGGATGAACAGTTGAAACGTGGCGAGACTCTAGAAGATCAGCTGAGACGTGACGAGGCTCTAGAAGATCAACTGAGACGTGACGAGACTCTGGAAGAACAGCTGAGATGTGACGAGACTCTAGAAGATCAGCTGAGACGTGACGAGGCTCTGGAAGGTCAGCTGAGACGTGACGAGGGTCTGGCAGATCAGCAGAGATGTGACGAGGCTCTGGCAGATCAGCTGAGACGTGACAAGACTCTGGAAGATCAGTTGAGACGTGACAAGACTCATGACGAGCAGCTGTGACTTGACTTGACTCATGAAGATCAACCGTGACTTGACTTGAACCATGAAGATCAACGGTGACTTGACTTGACTCAAGAAGATCAACTGTGACTTGACTTGACTCAGGAAAATCAGCTGTGACTTGACTTGACTCAGGGACGGCAGCTGTGACAGGACAGGGCGTTGTTGTCGCCGCCATTTTGCGAAAAGGCTCCACTGTCGCTGCCATTATGTGAGTGCGCTCCGGTGCGGCCACCATTTCAGTCACAGACGAGGTGTCATGTTCCTCCTACGCGACACCCACAGTGAATGAAGAGCCAACACACAACAAAGCATTGTCGGACCCTCGTGAATGAGTTTAGACTTTAGTGGTTGATTAATGCCCTCACAGAAAAAGTCTATTAAAACACAGTCCGGTAAATCAGAATAGTAAGCAATTTCCAGATACTCTTGAATATAATCCTCGAGCGATCGCATGCCCTGCTTGAGGGCTAACAACAGTCTTGCAAAATCCATACCTGGCCAATGTCCACAAGAAAAGCTGCTGGATCCTCCATTTGCAAAGCTTTATTAGAAGACATGGTCAGAAACAGGCAGGGTCGAACACCAGCAAACAGATATGGCACAGGCAAGACACAAGAGTAATCCGTTAAACAGTTAACAGTCTGTGTAGTGAGAGAGTCAATGTAATGGAAGAGCGATATCTGGTGGCAATCGGACGGAAGTCCATGGACAGGACTCGTAACAATTACATTCAGTTCAGACTTAAGTATATTCTTTAAAGTATATTATTTCCATTAAAAGTACCATTTTTAAATGTATGCTAAGGTGTATTTCTTTTTCACAAGGGCGAACTGACAATAAATAATAATAATAATAATAATAATATATATATAATATATACAAAAATAACAAATCATATATATAAAACATATATGTTGTGACTTGTGAAACACTAAATGGTGCCAGATGTGAATATACTGTAATAACTGACTAAAGAATGAACAATGTAAGTACTTGTTAGCTTATAAATAGTGCTTCATAAATAAAGATGAAAATATAATGTGCGAAACTGCTATAAACCAGTTTACATGAGTAAATGTTTTTGTATATGTTTCAGTTTGCCTGCGTGGCATCAAAGCCCACAGGAAATGTTACCTGGTTTCTGAGCAGGCCAAGCACTACCATGAGGCCAACGAGGACTGCATCGCACAGGGAGGGACCCTGGCCATACCTCGAGACATCAACCAGAACGACGAGCTCACAGACTACATCAAACGCAGCTCACCCGCATCCAATGATTTCTGGATCGGCATAACAGACATAGTGAAGGAAGGCCAGTATGTGGATGTGAACAGCCTGCCTGTCACTTTCTTCCACTGGGATCGTTCCAAGAGAGAGCCCACCGGAGGGAAGAGAGAGAGCTGTGTCGCGCTTTCGCTGGCAGCACAGGGAAAATGGCATGACGAGGTCTGTCGCTGTCAGAAAAACTACATCTGTGAATATCTGATCCCATGATGTGCATCAAACATGACATAAAGATGCTTGTTAAAGATTGAAGCAGGTCAATAAAAATGAAACACTCAGTGGTAATGTATGATGTGTCCTCTTTATTCACTCGAGGAACACTAAACAGAAACTTCCTCAGATTTACAGTGATTGTTTTTCAAGGCAGCGAAAAAAAAAAAGAAAACTTGCAATAATGATCTAATGGTTTTTCTGGATATGGTATCATGGTAATTGTTACACAAATGAAACATTTATAGTAGTAATCAGATTATTTTGAAGATTTAGAATTTTGAATATTTTGTCATCTGTTCAGAACAATTGTTAAAAAATTATGATGACTAAAAAAAAAATACAACAAAGCTGTGTATTTATATAGATTACATATAAGGTCTGTAGGTCAAATAATTTATTTCGAAAATAATGCACACAACAAGGGAGGCGATATTCCAACACTATAATGAATGAAGATGAAATGCAGAACAAAAGGAATCATTATATGAAAATAAAATATAATATAAAACAAAATATGGGACAATAAAAAAGGGACAACACATACAATATACCTAGCACATACAACGCTGAAAAGTTTTCCTCCTGTATATTTGAATACACATTAGAGGATTATTCAGGAAAATCTTGTCCTTTAAAATCTAATAATGTCCATTAAGTATTAAAAATTTTTTTGGTTTATATATATATATATATATATATATTAGGGTTATTATTGTTAACTAAAACTAAAACCCTAACAAAAAATACAACAAACCTGTATATTTATATAGATTATCTGTAGGTCAAATTATTTATTTATTTATAAAATAATGTACACAACAAGGGAGGCGGCATTCCAACACTACAAACATAATGAATGAAAATGAAATGCAGAACAAAAGGAATGATTATATGAAAATAAAATATAATATAAAATATGGGACAATAAAAAAAGGAACAACAACTCTGCTGTAAAATAATACACATTTCTATCCCTAGCACATACAACTCTGAAAAGTTTTCCCCCTGTTTATTTGAATAAACATTAGAGGAGTTGACTTGTTCAGGAAATAATGTCCATTAAAGTCTTTAAAAATCTTTTCGTTTAAATATATATACCACCACCACGCTCTAAAAAATATATATATATTAATCAGGGTTATTATTGTTAACTAAAACTTAAACCCTAAAAAAAACAACATTTTTAGTTTAGTTTAATTTAAAATACTAAATGAATTAAACCTACTAAATAAAAAATACTTCGAATTATATATTCAGCATATTAAAAAATACATAAAAAATTTGACATTGAAAAAAAAAACGAATAAAAATTACAAAAACATGCTACAAAATTACTAAAACTGTTAACTAAAATGATATAGAAAACTAAATAAATAACTAGAATCAAATCAAAATATTAACAACTTTAATAGTATATCAATGATACAAAAATAAATATGTACCTATTTATATATTTATACCTATTAAAGGTTTATCATTTTATATATATATATATATATATATATATATATATAGGCGATATAATTAATACTAAAAGTGTATAATATATATATAATTCACACTGAAAGACATTTTTTTCATTTTTGGGGGGCAAAAAAGGCTAAATAATATCTAATCTGTCCACTTACCTAAAATTTCAGTGTTGGGAAAGCAGTGAACACAATAAAACCACACTGTCATACATGAAGGCAAAGGTCAAGTTATATAATGACAGCAAACTTTAATCAAAAGGTTGAAGTGTGTTCTCGGGATAAGTTTTATATTTCATAACTATCATGCAAAGTCTCGAATTACATCACAATATTTTCATTTCACTAACTGCCAGTTTACACTTTCAGCTGTTTCATAATGCACACAGACAAGAGTGTTGTCGGAAGTGACGCAGATTGATGTGAAGTCTCGCGAAAGTGCGTAGCGGCCATTTTTCCTCCATTGATTGCTGTTTTGCTCACAGTCCGAGCAGAAAGAGGGTAACACAGATTAAACTGGATTAAGAGCCCTTTAGCCCTAAAGTTGATTCTTCGACATCGCCTGGTTTTGCCTAACACACTCAGAATGGTGTCCGAAAGCGACTCGCAGAGCTCTTGTTGACAGCGGACCGCGGCTGGAGGATCAGATGGAAATGGTGCCCAGCGAAGAAAAGCAGTTTGTGCCCAAAGAGGTGAGCGATGACCGACCCCAAAATAACACAGAGAAATTACACCACCACGCTCTATACGTTAAATCGCACCATGAGCCAGGGATTCGCGTTTAAATAAATGTAGGGAGAGATATGAAAGTGCGTGTCAGTATTGGGCTCAGCGGCTAGCAGGAGAGTGCTAGCAACAGCTCAGCTAACTATCAGTCAACAAGTCCTTCCAACAGATTAAATACGTTAATAACCACTCGAGTCCGGTGGTTTATGTGATTAATAAACCGGATAACGTGTTGTCATGTGTGCTGCCCGACTGTTTACTTGTCACACATCCTGGAAAGTGTCCTGCTGGAGTGAGTTTAGGGAGGCGCTAAAGTGTGCGCCATAGTTTATGTGTTAGCAGCACAGATTAGACCGCTTGATTTAATCCACATCACTTCATTCATGGACATGATTCAGATTAGAGTCATAATTCAGGTATTTGAGGACTGCTCTCTACTTTCGTTTCTAAAAGTCTGTGCAGTGTCAGTCAGCACACGTCAAATCGGATTTTAACACTGCTCTATATATATTCTCTATTATAGATGAGTGGATTTTAATCAAGAACAATTTTACGTGGCAACCTGTTCTGATCAATTCAGATCAAATACACTGTTTCTGTACTTTATTTGTGGACATGATTCAAATCAGATGAGAATCGAGTTATTTATCTGAATGTACAGGAACACTTTTGGACTTTTAACTGTCGGGATGTTATTTTTCGTTTTTCATGCTAACTCATAAAAAGGTCATTTTAAAATAAATGTCAGTGCAGTTAAACAAGTTAACGTTATATTGTTTATGTATAAAATCATTCGACCTTAATATTAGCAAGGATAGACTGTATTTATTGGATGCTTAAAAAGTAATATCTGGAAATAATTAATGGCAGTATCATGGTACTTGTAACTCCATAATGCTGACAAGGTATGATATCACACATTTTAATTAGATTAATTTTTTAAGATAGTAAATAACACATGCTGTAATGAAATTTATATTTATTTTACATAATATTTACAGACTTGTTTAGTAAGATTTTACCAGAAAAGATTTAAGTTTTTTTTTTTTATCATATGTTAATTTAAAAAGTAAATTGTATAACTTTAACTGCATTTTTTTCTGTTTCCTTGGTTTGTATCTTGTGTTTATTTAACTCTTGTATTATTGCAAGTCAGTTTTGCCAAGAAGATAGCCTTAGATGCTGACATGGCAATAAAAATAAATTACTACTACATAATATTTACTAAAGTAGAAATAATTTTAAAAAATTGGAAAAAAAAGAAAAAGTTTCAAACCCTTTATTTATTTATTTATTCTTTTGATAGCAGCTCCCTTATTTTGGAATTTTTCAGGATTCAACTGAATTTTCCACAAATTAAAAACATGACTAAAAATGCACACTTCAGAGCATCTAACAGCAGGATTTGTTTGGAATTTTTTTTGAATTAAATATTTATTAATATATAAAGCCTAGCTTTTCTGTTACTAATAATGGAAAGGCAAACACTATGCTTTTTCATATACACCATTTACACCATTTGTTTAATATTTCTGTTAATAATTTATTAGACTGAACTGTTCAACAAAAATACTAAACTAATGAAGACAGAGAATGTCTGACAGAATAAAAGTCTCACTTCTGACACTTAACAGCCAAATAGAAAAACTGATTGGCTGATGCAGGAAAAAAAAAAAAAAAA